GAGAAAATGTTTGCCAACTACTCACCAAACATAGGATTAATATCCAAAATATACAAAGAACTAAAAAGTTTAAATAATAATCAGTCCAGTCAATGAATGGGCAAATGGGCTAAACAGATATTTTTCAAAATGGGCTAAACAGATATTTTTCAAATGGCCAATACATACAAAGTTTCAGGTCTTTCATTGGGGTCTTAATCCATTTTTATTTGATTTTTGTATAGGGTGAAAGACAGGTATCTAGTTTCAGTCCTTCTACATATGGATACCTAGTTTTCCCATCATCACTTGTTAAAGAGGCTATGTTTCTTTCCAATGTATATTTAGGTACCTTTCCCAAGAATCATATGACTATATCTATGTGAAACTGTTTCTGGGTCTTCTATTTTATTTCATTGGCCTATGTGTTTGGTTTTGTGCATGTGCAGTACTGGTTTTTTTTTATTATGCCTCTGAAATATAATTTGAAATCAAATACTATGATTTATCTTACATTTCTGTTTCTGAATAAAAATCACTTTGCCTCTAAAAATGTTTTGCTTTTTATTATTTTTTAAATAAATTCAGTATTCACATTTCTATAAAGAATTAATGCAGTTTCAGGATACCTGTCCCACTGGGTTAGGAGAACAGTGCTTTTCCCGGCCTGCTTCTAGTGTGACTGCCCACCCTGATGCTTCGAGGTGCCTGGAAAAGTCAAAAGACTGTGAAGAGGTCTGTTCCCAGCCAGGCCTCCAAGCCCCAGGGGTCAGTAAGCTTTGGAGAAAGCAGAGGGGAAGACTAGCTTACTGTGAAACCTTTGTAAAAAAATATTCATACATGTCTATGTGTATGCCTATCAAGATGATGAGGAGAGCAAGAGTTTGGAGACATCCTATCCAGGCTATGCATGGGGGGTGGCAACACCCTCACACCAGCCTATCCTTGGACGTTGGGTGAGGGGGAGTCCTGGCTTTCATCTTGGCCACAGCCCGGCTTCCTAGTTCATGTTTGACTCCATTCTCTAAAACCACCTGTGCAGAGTCCTAGACTGCACAGGAAGCACAAACGTTCAACTTGTATGCAAAAAAGGTACAAAAACAACTAGAATATAAAAGTTTTGGTAATATAAGACCATCTGTTCAAGTTCACCTTGGAAACTTGTAACAGATATTTAAATACTGCGTGAAAAGTCATCTTTAATATACTTTTTAAAAACATTTGAAGTAATTACTTAAGTGTGTAAAAAATCATTTCCCTATGAGGATACCTTCAATCATAACAGCTACAAGACACTTTGTGTCTTTGCTATAAACTGATGGCAAAAGAAGTGTCACACAGGGAATATGTTAATGATGAGAAGATTCTCAATAGGCAGGCACTGAGATAAGAGTAGCTAGTTCTCAGCCTATACATTAAATCAAAAGATAAAACAGCAGACATTTAGGATGCATCCTTTGCATACACCTCTTCTTGTATAACTACTACAGTCAGTTTAGCTGCTGATGTGATAATGCATATAGTACATTTTCCACAGATGGCTGGTGATGCAGAACAAATTCTGGCTAAGTGCCTCAAACTTTTCTTGGTGGTGTCATTCTATGAGCCATCTTCTTACTCACCATCACAAGGTCATATGCGTTACATTATTTCCCTAAAATGGTAATGAAACATATTGAGCCATCTAAATTTTCTCAGTTATATTAGGAGGGACTAAAAATGGCATTTAAATTGTCTCTGGCACCAGAAAAACCATGCCACAGCTACTTATTGTAGGCCCTAAAGCAAGTTATCCAAATATTTTTCGAGACAGTGTCTCACTATGTAGCCCACGCTAGACTCAAATCTACAATCCTCCTGGTTTAGGCACTCAAGTGTTGGGATTACCATCATGTTGTAACCACACCCTGGCTACTTAAACATGACTATCCACAAAACGGGCACAATAGTCAGTTGTGTAACATGGACCCTAAGATTTTTTTCCAAATGTCTTGATGTATTTGCTTGCTAATTCGTAAGGCCTCACATGATGATAATGACTTTTACTTTCATGATTCTAACATAGTTGATCTTTTTACAAAAATGTATTTATATTTTATTCTATGTGTACAAGTGTTTGTTTGCATGTATGTATGTATGTATGTATGTATGTATGTATGTATGTATACCACAAGTGTGCCTGGTGTCCACAGAGGTCAGAGAAGGGCATGTGACCCCACAGACTGCTATGTGGCTGCTGACAATGGAACCTGCCTTCTCTGCAGGAATATCACGTGCTCTTAAATGCTCAATCATTTCTCCAGCCCCAACATGGTTGATCTTAATATACAGAAATTATCTAGGCGAGCCTACCTAGGCTCAAAGACCCTGTACAGGCAGAATATTCTCCAGTTGTGATTACAAAATAGATTGGGAGCATAAGTTTTCATTGGGCCATTGCTGGTGTTTTGTAGGCCCCCCACCACCCACCCCCTCACTCATGCCCGAGATTGAAACATTCCACATTCCACGCTGCAAGGAACTTCCTTAAGCAGGAAGGTAAACAACTCAAAATAGAATCAGGAATCCTTGAAACTGACCGGATTCGATTGGGTCCCTTCTTCCCAAGAGTAAACAAGCCAAGATGCTGAGTCTCCTTGAGACAGGCCAAGGTGCAGAAAAGACACGGATAAGCCAGGCTGCAGCAAAGACCCTGAGACCAGAGCAAACTGCCCGGAAGATGCAGAAACCTGCCAAGCTGCCTGGAAGCAGTTCAGACCAACTGACTGCCCTTCCCGAGTGACCAGGTTTTTATGTTGCATCTCCCCAGGAAAAGTCTTGAACACAAGGGCTGGCTCTGAGGTGTATTTACCCCATGAATTGACCAGAGAGAAGCATTTGCATCTAAGAGATAAAGCTGACAGCCCCAGGAAAATAGGCAAGGAACGAAACACAGTCTATGACCACAAAGAACCATTTTTTGCTCACAATAAAGTGAGACTGAAAGCTGGCTGTGCCCCTTAGACAACCTGCATAAAGCCCAACACACTGACTCCATCCTTATGAAAAAGTAAATGCAGAAGCCAGCCATATCCATTCTGACTTCTGACTCACAGAACTGTGAACCAACAAATTAACATTGTCATAAACTATGGTTCTGTGGAAAGCTGTTGTACAGCAATAGAACTTACGGGGAGGGAGGGGCTCTGTGACTACCATGGCCATCAGAGTAATGATTCACAGGAGGCAAGAAAGTTCAACAGTACTTGGTAGAGGCGTCAGTTCAAACCTAGTCTGACACTGGGCAGTTTATTTCAGGTACATTTGAGCACAACACAATTTGGAAAAGTTTCCTGGTGATAAATAACTCAGTCGTGTGTGTCCAACAAAGCTTATGACATGACTACATTGAAACTCTCTGTAAAATACATGTGACATCTTCCACAAAGATGGGTTCTATAGATTAACTGAGAAAAACAAGCTCATGATAAGGCTCTGGGGGAGGGTCCGGTCCTGAGTGTTTGTTGTCTCAGCCACACAGATAGTGCTAAGGTCATCAAACTATTAACCATTCCTGCTCCCAGCCTCATGAACAGGAAACAGGTTATACACCTCTCCCCTTGAAGAGACAATACTGTGTGTAATCTTCCGGGTTCCCATAGTGCTTATCTATGAGCCTCCAAAAAAAAAAAACCCTGATATTGTAGAGGATGGAACAAATGCCTACTGAAAAGTTTCTACACCCCAAAAAACCTATCCATCGATACAACAATCCAAATCAGACCAAATCAAACCGAATTAGAAAAAGCCCATGTTTAATAGATACACAACGCTCCCAAGATGGCCTTACAGTCCCCAAGAAAGGAGATGGGAAAGGGTGACCACATGTCTTTGTGAAGGAGTCAGATCCCCTGGAACTTAGAAACAGTTGTGAGCTGCCGTGTGGGTGCTGGGAATTGAACTCAGGACTTCTGAAAAAGCTACCAATGCTCTTAACTGATTTTATGGTGGAAGATTCACCCCCAACCCCTGGCATCCACATACACAAAGAGTCTGGAATGTTGTGGTGGAAGTTCCACCCAAGCCCCCTCCCCTATCTCTCTACAAACTCTGCTGCATTTCAGGCAGTCAGACAAATGACGACGACTCCCTCCCCCAGAGGATGCTCAAGAGCACTGCCCAGCTATTACTTAACAAAACTCACAGATAAAAAAGAACGTATGGCTGTACCAAATGTAGTCACAAAACTACTTCATTAACTACAATGTTTCCCAAACTGTATAGCCCTGAGAACCACCAGATGCACTCATAGAAAAATGATTCTCTTGTTCCTTGTGTAAAATCTCACCCTATATATAGACTGTAGTGAGGTTCCAAGAACCCCTATTCTTAGTACCCTAAGTAAATCTATTGTCTATATGAATTTTGAAACATTAGGTGAGAAATCTACTTAGCCATACATTCATTTAGTGAAAATTCACTACATTGAACTGTGATGCACCAAAATTATGAATCTGTGTCTTTTACAGAGCTGTAAAAGTCAAGTTCTGAACAATTCTATTATACAAGATATCCTATAGGTCAGTGATTGTAAATTAAATCGGTGATACTTGTCAACTTTTCTCTATTTACCAGAGTTACTTGAGACATGTTCCACTGTGTGTGTGTCTGTATGAGCGAGCAGAGTCTGTTCTCCCTAGCTTACTAATGGTGGTACTAGACTTTGCGAGTCCTCTCATTCCCCAGATTCTCTCAGCTCTCCCTCGGTACAGCTAAGCCTCAACAAAGTAATAGGATGTATGCTACTGGGGACGGCCCCCGCATTTCTAGTAGGACAGAACTGAGATGACAGTGCCAGAGCTGTTAGCAAATGACTTTCCTGTTGCCAGGGTAAAGCCGCTACAGCCATCCATTAAGTGCTTACGACGCAGAAGGAGGACTGCCCACGCGAAGACTTCAAATTAGCATAGCCCCGCCCCGCACGCGCAGACCACGCCCCCTTCTTGGGCCGTTGCCCTTCCCGCAGACAGTTGCCCCTCCCCCGGACAAAACTCTAGGCGGGAACCCACAACGTGACGCGGGGAGCGCGATCCGTGGCGGCTCCGTCCAGGTGCTTCCGGCTCCCACCGGACGGAGGCGCGCTCGGCCCCGACCTCACTCTTCCACGGAAGTGTGTTTAGGCGCACCGGAAGCCACCTCAGGGGTGAGCCATGGCGGGTTTGCCTGTTAGAGACCCTGCGGTGGATCGTTCTCTGCGTTCTGTATTCGGTGAGAGGATTTCGGTGGCGTCTCCAGGCAGGGAGGGACGTCCCCTGCGGTCCCCAGCTGGTGCGGGTGTCGGGGCGGGCATGCGGTTTCGCCGATGTCCTTTGACGCGGCAGCCTGGTGTACTCGTGGGCAAACAGACACCCCCCCCCCCCAACTTGGGCTCCAAGGTATTGGAGGTTTTCCGCAGTGTGGCTCAGGGAGCTAGACTCTAGCGTTTGTCTTCTCTACGTTTTCCCCTTCATGATTCTCAGTTATTTTTTAGGAGAAAAGGTGCGTGGAAACAGAGCGTCCCTGTTCCGTGCTGCTTCTCCTAGCCCAAAATACAGATTTAATTCTGAAGCCATCGACCCTATATCCACTTCCCGCCCTCTCATAAACGCGTAATATCGCTTGCTTTTTACTTGTAACGTTTCATCCAACCATAGTGGTAGCGGCCATCTGGCACCTTGAGGTGGGTTGCGGATGAATGAATGAATGAATGAATGGTTACAGCTCAGGGAGATTCTAGAGAAGCGAAACTAAGCAGTTCTTAGGAATTAAGGGAGTTACTTCTAAAATATGTGTATTGCCTTTGTTGTTGTTGTTGTTTTTGTTTTTCGAGACATGGTTTCTCTGTGGCTTTGGAGGCTGTTCTGGAACTAGCTCTTGTAGACCAGGCTGGTCTTGAACTCACAGAGATCCGCCTGCCTCTGTCTCTCGAGTGCTGGGACTAAAGGCGTGTGCCACGTGTATTGCTTTTAAAGCACGTTTTGGGGCAGTAGAATTGCCTCGAATTCAAGGCCAGCCAGAGCTATATAATAAGACTCAAATCAAAAAGAAGCACTGTTTAAAAGAAACATGACAAAACAGGTCAGAATAGTTTTTAAGCCCTCTCCACTATAATCATGGCTATCCTTCCATAAGTGCATGTATACATGGAAGTACAAACATGAGTCCACCCCGTTTAATTTATCTTTTTAGTAGTCACAAGGCTATGAGTAAATACCACTGCTTAAACATTTATTTTCATCCAAGTAAGGGAATTCACGCCCTTTCAAGTTCTCATATCCACATGAGAACTGTTTGAATGACATCTTTTGATTTAGTCTCTGGCTCTGTTGTGAGATCTGAAAAGATACAGTGGAAGCAGGTTTTGGAGAACACTATGTTCAGTCAACTTGTTACATGTTTATTGATAAAGGTAGAAAGCCTGCTGTTTACTTGCTCACTGGAGAGCTCCATTACTGCCCCAGCATTTTAATGTGTTATCTGTTCCTTAGTGGGAAACATTCCTTACGAAGCTACCGAAGAACAACTGAAGGACATCTTCTCTGAGGTTGGGCCTGTTGTTAGTTTCAGGTGAGATCCTCTTTTAAGATCTTCATGGGAGAATCTTACAAACATGTTGTTAGTTTCAGGTGAGATCCTCTTTTAAGATCTTCATGGGAGAATCTTACAAACAAAATCACAGATTTTGCCGGGCGGTGGTGGCGCACGCCTTTAATCCCAGCACTCGGGAGGCAGAAGCAGGCGGATCTCTGTGAGTTCGAGGCCGGGCTGGACCGATAGCCTCCAAAACAATACAGAGAAACCCTGTCTCGTAAAACCAAAAAAATAAAAAAAAATCACAGATTTTGAGATAAATGTACATGCTTTATAATTCATATCCAGCCTTACCTGGAAGATTTCTTTCATTAAAATGTTTAAAAAACATAAAACCCACTGGGCGGTGGTGGCACACGCCTTTAATCCCAGCACTTGGGAGGCAGAGGCAGGCGGATCTCTGTGAGTTCAAGGCCAGCCTGGTCTACAGAATAGTTCCAGTACAGGCTCCAAAGCAGTGCAAAGAAACCCTGTCTTGAAAAAGCCAAAAACAAATAAACATAAAAGCAGAGTTAGAAGAATATCTTTTTGGGGGGGGTTGGAGACAGGGTTCCCCTGTGTATCAGGCTTGACTGTCCTAGAACTCAGTGTATAGCCAAGCTGGCCTTGAACTCTCAGACATCTGCCTGCCTCTGCCCTCCTGAGTTCTGGAATTAAAGGCGTGCGCCACCATGCCTGGTTTAGAAAGGTGCCTTACTGTGGTCTAAATTAGAACATGCCAATGTTAGCAAGAAGCCAGCTTTTGTGTGTGTGTGTGTGTGTGTGTGTGTGTGTGTGTGTGTGTGTGTAGCATTTGTTTCTGATGCTTGCGTTTGCTCTTCAGATTGGTATATGATAGGGAGACAGGAAAACCAAAGGGTTATGGCTTCTGTGAATACCAAGACCAAGAAACAGCACTTAGTGCCATGCGGAACTTGAACGGGCGTGAATTCAGTGGACGAGCACTTCGAGTGGATAATGCTGCCAGTGAAAAGAACAAAGAAGAACTGAAAAGTGAGTATAAATGCAAGCCATATATATTCCAAGTTAGTGAAGATAATACAAGTTGTTATTTGCAATTATGCTTTCAAGATGCTGAGGTGGTTAGCTGAATGAAAAGCTTCTTAGAACCGGGGGCGTCTGAGTGGAGGATGTGTATATTTAAGCAACTTGACTTTAGAAATCTTTCTGTTCTCTAGGAGTTGCTCTCCACTTTTTGGGAAATTCAGGTTCATAAAGCCTAAAGGCATGTCCACAAATGCTGTTGAAATTAATGTCTTTGTGTGTTTACATGCTTTTCTTCTGAAGTGTTTTGCCAAAAAAAAATCAATACCAGCATTATCACTTTTCCAGCTGTCCTGTAATAACAGAAGATTCACTGTCACTTTTGTTTTCAGAAAGGAGATTTTTGGGTGGTTTAATTTCCAGCTCCAGAGTCTGGAGTTATTGGTTGGTGCTCACAGACACCCTGGAAAATAGACATTTGAAATGACTAAGGTTGTTATTGTGCCTTCCTGACTTTCTTGTGCTTTCTTCCTAATCAGGCCTTGGAACTGGTGCACCTGTCATTGAGTCACCTTATGGAGAGACCATCAGTCCTGAGGATGCCCCTGAATCTATTAGCAAAGCAGTTGCCAGTCTTCCACCAGAACAGATGTTTGAGCTGATGAAACAAATGAAGGTGGGGGGGCATTAGATTATGCAAGATACTTTACATCAGATTTCCAAGGAGTTAATGGACATCATTCCCTGAGCTTAAGTAGTTGAGTCTGTTGGCACTGTATCATCTACATTTTATACACAGAGCTATTTTTATATATAAACAGTCCAGCTGTGTTTCTGTGCCCCCTGTAGATGTTAAATTATAGTTTTGCCCATAAGTGATAATATTACCATATTCTAAATGCCTTTTCTTGCCTGCCACAGCCACGATTTTTTGGTCAATGTCAAAATCAGTGCTAAATCACCAGGCATGGTGTTTTGTGCCTGCAGTTCCACTACTTGGGATGCTGAGGCAGAAGGGTCACAGTGAGTTCAAAACCAGAATGGGATACATGAGGCTCTGTCTCAAAAAGAAAATCAGTAGTAACTCAGACATTGTCTTGAATATTACATTTATGAGATGAAATAGCTCGAGTCATCAGATTCATCGTCTTGAGTCTGAAGGTGAATTTTCTTATCTTCTCAGCTCTGTGTCCAGAATAGTCCCCAAGAAGCACGAAACATGTTGCTTCAGAATCCACAACTGGCTTATGCTTTGCTACAGGCACAGGTAGTGATGAGAATTGTGGATCCTGAGATTGCCCTGGTGAGTGCTTCTGGTTTTTGTATGGGATAAGAACTGCCTGATTGGCTTGTTAAACAGATAGCTCATAGATGTATCTTTTCATTTTTTAGAAAATTCTGCATCGCCAGACAAATATCCCAACGCTGATTTCAGGCAACCCTCAGCCAGTTCATGTTCCTGGGCCTGGCTCAGGACCCAATGTGTCAATGAACCAGCAGAATCCTCAGGCCCCTCAGGCTCAATCTTTGGTAGGGTTTTATTCCACAACATTTTTTTATTTGTCTTAAAATGTTATTTTCTTTCCAGGAGAATATTGAGAGAAGAAACGGCAAGAATCAGAGATGGTAATTAAAATTTTTAGGCATAAAAGCAATTTTCAGATTGCAGAACACATGCCACCTGAAAGAATGTAGATTGCATTCCAAGTTAATAAAACAGAGATCCTTCCTGTGAACCCTTTTCTAGCAAGCTAATTTTTTTGTGGGTGTGTATACCTGCCACTGTGGTTATCACTTCAATATCCTATATGTTACGTCATTTAATCCACATCGCAGCAAAATGAGGCAAGCATTCTTACTGTCTCCATTCTCAGCAGTAACAAAGGGGAAAGCACATGTTCAAAAGCATGATTGTAACCCTACAAACACGAAAATTTAATACATCTATAAGTTGACCCTTTTTGTAAGGAAAAGGAAGCAAACACTAAAGACTAAATGGGAAAAAGATTTGCCACACATGTTGTGCAAGAGGCTAATTCTAAATAAAGAGTACTTGGTCATGCTGAAAGGTGTCTATTGTCATATGATAATAGCAAATATTAAAAACATGTGAAATGTTCACCAATGAAAATTGAAGAAAATTTGGTATATCTATCCAATGGAAATCATTAAACAAGTAAACTACATGTATGAATAGGAATGACTTTTAGAGACCTAGTGCCCTACAACATTAAGATAGGCAAAAATATGTGGTATCAACACAGATAACTCAAAAATATAAAAGCATACAGAAAGTGAAATTAAGTAAATACGGGAACATTCTCCATATGGATATATGTATCAGCATAAATTCTCAAGCTGCTAAGTGAAATGCCAAAACTAGTTCAATATATATAGGTATGTTTTAAAGATTTATGTTATGTATATCTGTTTTATGCATACATGTAAGTACACTGCATATACAGTGTCCTAGGAAGCCAGAAAAGAATGTCAGATTTCCTAGAATAAGTTATAGACCAATTTGCACTTCTGTGTGAGTGCTGGGAACTGAACTCAAATCCTCTGCAAGAGAAGCAAGTGTGTATAATCATTGAGCCATCTTTCCAGCCCAAATATAAACATTTTAAATGTGTATAAGAATTCTGGGTAGTTATTTAAGGAGTAGAAAAATATGAGGTGTAATTTTGTTTGTTTGTTTTTGTTCGAGACAGGGTTTCTTTGTGGCTTTGGAGCCTGTCCTGGAACTAGCTCTTGTAGACCAGGTTGGTCTTGAACTCAGAGATCCTCTTGCCTCTGCCTTCCGAGTGCTGGGATTAAAGTCATGTGCCACCACCGCCCAGAGAGGCGTAATTTAAATCACGTAGGAGGTTATGTTGTTTATATCTCTATTTTCATAAGCAAAATGCAAATGAATTTTTAAAAAATACCAAAATGGGTAGTGGGCATAAACAGTAACAAAACTGAAATTAAGTATTCAATCTAAAAATAAAATATAAGCTAAAATAAGCCACCATTTTTTTACCTACTGGATGGGCAGAGGTAAATAACATGATGAATCCAGTGATGGTATAGGGCAAAGATTAGTAAACATTTTCTTTAGAATCTCAGATAATAAATACCTTTGGCTTTACAAACTGTCATCTCTAATGTGAGATAATATGTAAAAGTATGTGATTGTATTTGAGGAAACCCCTACTTATGAAGCCGTTGATAGAAATAGGCATCGTGATACCTATAATCTCAGCACTTGGAAAGTAAAGACAGAAGATCAAAGCAGATCAGAGTTCAGAGTCATCCTTGGCTACCTAGCAGAATGGAAGCCATTCTACGCTATTTGAGACTCTGCCTCAAAAAATCAAACAAAGTCTGGGGCTTGCAAAATGGTTTAGAAAATAAGGGTGCTTGCTATCAGGTCTGACAACCTGAGTTCAATCACTGGGATACACATTGTGGAAGGAGAGAATTTATTCCTGCAAATTGTTCTCAAGTATGCCATAGTATACACACTGGGTGGATGGATAGATGGATAGGTAGATGGATGCTTCAATGGATGGATGGATGATGAGATGACTCGATAAATAAAGGTGCTTATTGCCACACCTGACAACCTGAGTTCAACCCCCCGGAGCCATATAGTGGAAAAAGAGACCTTAAACAAGTTGTTCTCTAATCTCTGACCTCCACATACACACTGGGGTGGGTGTACATGTAAACACAAGAAATTTGAGGAAAAAATATATTAGACAGGGTCTGACTATATGACTCTAGGGCAGTCCTGGAACTCACTTGCTGTGTATACCAGACTGGCCTGTTAACTCACAAAGACCCACCTGTCTCTGCCTCCTGAGTGCTGGAATTAAAGGCATACATTACTATTCCTGGCTTGAAAAAATTTTAACCGATTAAGAGTTTATCCGGTTTGGTGATACATGTCATTAATTCTAGCACTTGAAAGGTAGAGGCAGCTAGATGGATTTCTGAGTTTGAGGCAAACTTGGTCTACATAGAGTTCCAGGATGGCCAAGATTATGTTGAAAGACCCTGTCTCAAAACAAAAGTTGAGAAGAATTTAACCAATGAGCAATAGTTTACCAGCCCCTGTCCTAACTAAATATTTTACAGAAATGGAAAATTAAGACTGAAAATGCAACCAATCCAAAAGAGTTATGGGTGGCAAATTAGGATCTGAACCTTGTCTAATCTCATAACCTGTTGTAACCACCTCCCTGTGCAAACTTTCCTCTTTTCTGCTTTAGTTTTGATTATTGTGAACATGTATGTGATATTTAAAAAAATCCATACAACTTTTATTGCAGTGTATTGCTGTAGTTGTTCTATTTTTAGTTATTGCTGTAAACCTCTAAATTGAACCTTGGAGGAAAATAGTGATATATTCAGACAAGTTAAAAAATACCTAAGGCTTTGAATATCCACTGGAGGTCTTGAAATGTGTCTGAAGAAAACAAGGTGCTAGTATGTTTCACTTTCCTCCTCTGCCATCCAATGATGTGTAAGGGATGAGCACGTGAGCCATTGAGACCCAAGCCATTTTGGACCTTATCCAACAGATAAAGCACTGCTGTCAGTGTAAGAAGCAGCAGATGGGAGCAGCATCTCTACTCTGATCTCAGTTCTCACTTTATTAGTAAGCTCTCACACTGCACACAGATGGCAGAGACATGCAGAAAGAGTGGGGTACTACTGAACTTAGAATCTAAACTTTATTTTTGGTGCTCATGTATTTGATTTTTTAAAAAGTCTTTTTATTCTTTGCAGTTCTTTTCATTCCAAAGATGTGCATGGTTCTCTAGGAAATACCTCATGAAAAGATTGCATTCCCTTTCTCTCAGGCAACTGAATGTGTCATTTAAAAAATCTACAAATTTATACCCCCTCCCAAGAAAGTTATGTTCAAGGACAGAAGTTATTAAAGTTTGAAAAAAATGTGGAGTACCAGCAGGATATTTTTTTGAAGTCTTAGTCCCTTGTCTTGAGTATAATGCTTTTTTTTAACTCTTAATTGTTAGGCATCAATCAGTGAAGCCAAAAATGGGTTGTTGCACCATGCATATATTCCATCTTAACTGTGTTCAGATAACCAGGCTCAAGTTACATGCTGCAGTTTGCTTCTGTTGAATTCAGAGTATGTGATAAGCCTAATGTTATAGAAGATACACAAAAAGGATGTTTGGCAGACTATTGGAGCTACGAATTTTAAGAGAAACTTAAGAAGGCTATAGACTAATGGTTTGAGTCTGAAGAGACTTGCTCTCACTTGTTTTTCTCTTTGTCAGGGTGGAATGCATGTCAATGGCGCGCCTCTGATGCAAGCTTCTATGCCAGGTGGAGTTCCAGCCCAAGTACAAATGACAGCAGCCGTAGCAGGACCTGGCCCTGGTTCCTTAGCACCTGCAGGTAACTTTCCATTCGAGTCTTTACCATTTTGTTACTTTACTGCGGTTTTATAGTAGCAACTGCTGAAGTGCAGCCCATTATTTAGTAATAGGATCTTGTTATAAAATGTATGTTTACCTATAACATGTATTCTAGGCTGAGGAAACTAGATGATTTCTTGTTTTGTATTGTTTGAAAGAAAAGGTCTTGCTGTGTAGCTGGGGCTGGCCTCAAACTTGCAGTCCCTCTACTTCAGATGCACAAGTACTGGGATTAGTGGCATATGCCACCAATCTCAGCTAAATGAGCTCTTAAGTGAGACAAGTGTGCTGGTACTTGAATGTCACAACAGTGTCAGGTTCATAGAGATTTTTAAGTACCTGTTCTCCATTTCTGTACTTACATTGTCTTACATAGGCTGTTGATCAGTACCTTCTCTGGTTGAGTAATAGGTAATTAATAGGAATAATGAGTTCCACTTAATTTTTAGAGACAGCCTTACCTCTCTTACTGCAGAGTAGCCTTACATCTCTTGACTACAGAGTATACTCCTCAACTCCAAATGACCATGAGAACCCTTAAAAAAAGACCACATACTTAGCTATAAGTTAAACTTAGCAAATTTGAGGCAGACATTTTTACAGATAACACTGTTTGATTTTAGACCAATAAAATTAGAAATAAATAATTAAAAGGTGAGTGTGAAGAAATCTTGACTTAGAAAATTAAGAACATACTATAGCAATTTAAAGAGGAAATAAAAATTGCAAATAGTGTAAATTAAAACAAAAGTAATATATATTTATATTCCATACAAATAGGTATGAGAAATAGTAAAGTGGTGCTTAAAGGAAAATGAATATTCTGAATACCTATGTTACTAACAAAAAATAAAGTCCATACTGGTACTAATTAATTAGAAAAAATAATAAACCACAAGATACTAAGAAGAGGAAATTAATGGCAATGAGAGTGTAGGTCAGTGGTAGAGCACTTGTCTACCATGTGCAAAGTCCCATGTTCAGTCCCCAGCACCAGGCACAAAAAAATCCTTATGAATCAAAACATCCACCCTAAAAGAACCAAAAAATAAAAACTGAGATCATCCATAAAATTAAAATAATTAACTCAAGGGGTATTTATATTTATGAATTCCTTAAAACTTCTTGGGAATTTTTTGAGCTATCCTACAGAGCTCTTTGAAAATTGGTAAGAAGAAAAACAACCTATGGAAAAGTGCAGGAAGAAACTGTTTAAGAGCTTTGTAAAAGAGCAAAGTCAGATGGCCAACAAAAATCCCCTCCTTTATAGTTTGGGGTTACAAATTAAATAAAAATAAAATGTCCAAGTTTCAAAGAAGAGAACAATATTTGTAAGGAAATTTGTACTCATCATCATTGGTAGGAATAGGAAGGCTTTCAGTCTTATAAAAGGAAGTAGACAACATGAAAGATTCCTACATTCTGACTACCAGTTCCACCACTGGGGATTTAGCCTGTACAAATAAAAGGTATTATGTGATGTTCTTTATGTAGGAAATTATGCTCATAATGCCTTCTGCCCAGATCTTAAACATTTGTATTGTGTTGGTAATTGGTCTGGTTTCAATGGCTTGGAATATTATGGCTGGAAGGACGCTTTGAAACCATTTAAATCAGTGGTTTCAGACTTTAATGTATGTTAGAATCACCTGAAGGTCCTATAAAATGCAGATTGATGTTTTCTGCTACCAAACTATAATTTAATAAGTCTGAGGTGCAGAACCTGAGAATTTGCAGTTTTTGCATTTTTCTTGTTGATACTGATATGGTTTGTCTGGCTGGGGACACCCTTCTGACGACTACTATTTGGAACAACGTTTTTGTTTTACAGATAAGGAAGCGGGGAATGTATTACTTTATTGAGTCAGTTGTTCAGAATCACAGTTCCTTAGTAGCAAGAGCTGGACTAGCACCCAGTTCTCTGGGTACTTAATCCGTAACATTTTTTAGTGCTTAGCATGTTCAATGAAATAGGAAGTATTAATGAACTGCAAAGAATCAGCTTGCCTTTTGTCCCAACTCAGCAGCATATCTTGTTCCTTTGAGGAAAAGACAATTATTGATATGTGGAAGGGACCAAACAAGGATGTGTGGTGTGCGATTATTCTTTATATAGTAGGCAGTCATCACACCCCATCTGGTTAGTGTAGACCACAGGTTCTCAACCCTGCTAAATCTACTGTCCCCTTTTTGTAACATTTTTCAATGGCTTTACTGTTCTGAAATATAGGGTACAGATGATACAACCCTTGTAACATAACTTCAAAAATTAATATAATGCTCTAATTACAGTACAAACAAAAAGTAAAAGGAAAATTAATTCATAATTTAGAAATTAATATGTAAATGTCCGGGTAGAATTAGAAAACAAAATGTAATAGGTGTTTACATCTATCCCATGAATGTAAAAACTAAAAATGTAGACAGTTGTAGTGATATGTGCTTTGGTAATTCAAAACCGTAGAAGTATTGATGTAGTTTTCCTAAGTAATGAAAAACTCTACTAAAATTCTTAAAACAAATTGCAGTCTTCATAATATACTCAGTAATTGCATTTCTAGAAAAGTTAGTGTATGTAAACTAAAACAGATTTTATATAACTTCTGTGTTTACAAGTAAAACAAACTCAGATTCTAGGTTGAGAAGGCAAGGACAGCTTTTCCTTTGTATGAATGTTCAGTGAGTCATTTGAGAGCTTTTTCAGACACAAGATGGATTTTTTGTATTAAAGGGGGTTCTGCCACAATTTTGGTAACTGACATGAAATATTCCTTCTGAACTCATTTGTCACTAAAGTCTGACATACTAAAGTGTGCGTTGTTGACTGGTAGTTATGACATTCGTAAACTCAGCCACTGTTGTTTTTTTCTATAGGCCCAATTTATGTTTTTCCCTGTCCTTTATTTTCTAGGAGTCATGCAAGCCCAAGTTGGAATGCAAGGAGGTGGACCAGTGCCCATGGAACGAGGACAAGGTAAATATTAAATATCTGTTGAAAATACAGGGAACATGGAAATATTCCATATCTGCACTGTCTAATGTGACAGCCACTAACCACTAGTGGCAATTTAAAGTTTATTAAAATTAAGTTCAAATTAAGTAACACCTAATGTTCTTATTTCCTGGGCACAATAAAATTGCATTCCAAGTGCTCAGTAGCCATATGTGCTAATGACGACCACACTGGACACTGCAGATGTATAATGTTTCTATGCTCACCAAAACTTCTGTTGGCCCAGACTTGGGGATATTCAGAACCTAGCTCTACAAGAATTGGTGATGCAGCAAATGCATCCTTTGTTTTCTGATAGTCTAACAACTCCATTGTGAATAGCTGTTGACTTTGTAAGGAGTTTTAATAGTGAGAATATAGTATAAGACCAGGTCTGTAGATGTTAAGATGTAGCAAACTGGGAGCAAAGCAGAGGTCTATAATGCATAGTTTCAAAGTGTTGCTTGTACTGTGGCAAAAGCACAGTATAAATAAGAGCAGCTGCCCTTCCAGAATCTTTGCATTCTTTCATCATATTATTGGAGTCTAAAGGAAAAAGAAAGTACAGTAGTTGTAAATACTCAGTAACTTCCGTTTCTGTAGACAGCCTTGTGTTAGTTGGCAGTGCCTCAGTTTTACAGGTAAAGAAAAGGAAGAACAGGAGTTTTAAGTTTCTTATTGGGATGTGGTAAGCGCCTACTCCGATCTGAGGATTGTGGCCTGAATCTGGTACTATATTCTTGAATAAAAGATTAAAATCTCTGAATCCAATATCTGCCCTTGCTGGATGGTGGTGGCATATACCTTTAATTACAGCACTTGGGAGGCAGAGGCAGGTAGATCTTTGTGAGTTCAAGGCCAGCCTGGTCTAAAAAGCGAGTGCCAGGACAGTCAGGGCTACACAGAGAAACTCTGTCTTGGAAAACAAAAAAAAAACAAAAGTAATAATAACAAAAATCTGCCCTCTTCCCATCATTTTACACTGCCAGTGTTAATTTCAGAATTTTCAAAATAATGTACTTACTCAATAGGTTCCTGTGTTGGGAACAGATTGCTTTGGACAAGAACAGAGGGACTTAATATTTTTCTTCTTAGCTGATTCCCTATGAGAGAAACCTACTTCAAAAGCACACTATTTTAAGATATAGGCCCATGGTGTATACTCAGGGATTGGTGATTGAAATGATGAGTCTAAGCTTGTCTCATAAGATGAATGGCAACAAGACAAAGTTCTGGCCAAATATCTCATCTTCCCCCCTAAAACATCCCATGCTTTTGTGCTGCTGTGTATGCCCATCCCATTACTGTCAGTACATGGTGTGTCTACCCCAAACCGTCTTTGCAGTAGTGAGAAGGGCTTAGGCTTCGTTATGTCTCTCCTCCTTCCTAGGACATTAGTCTCAGCTATTTAACACATACTTCTTTTTTTTAATTTTAATTTTTTTTAATTAGAAACAAGGTTGCTTCACAAGTCAATCCCAGGTCTCTCTCCTTTTCCCTCCCCTCTTCCCGTGCCCTCCCACCAACCCCCCCAAAACCCCCTCTTTCCCCAGGGAGGGTAAGGCCCTCCATGGGGGTGTCCATAGTCTGTCATTTCATCCAGGGCAGGGCCTAGACCCTCCCCCAAGAGTTCAGGGTGAGAGTGCATCTCTCATTGTGGAATGGGCATCCAAAGTCCATTTGTATGCCCAGGATAAATACTGATCTATTACCCAAGGCTCAATAGATTACCTAGGCCTCCTCACTGACACCCACATTCAGGGGGTCTTGATCAGTCCCATGCTGGATTCCCAGCCATCAGTCTGGTATTCAAGAGCTAACCCTTGCCAGGTCAGCTGTTTCTGGGGGGTTAAATCAGCCCAGTCTTAACCCCTTTGCTCATCAGTCCTCCCTCTCTGTCACTGGGTTCCTTGAGTTCATCTCAGTGTTTAGCTGTGGGAGTCTGCCTCTGCTTCCATCAGCCATTGGATGAAGGTTCTGTTCCCCAGACTCTCTGGCCATGGGATTCAAGGCTGGCACTCCCCAGATCTATGTCTAAAATCCATATATGAGAGAGTACATACCATGTTTCTCTTTTTGTGACTGGGTTGCCTCACTCAGGATGGTTTCTTCTAGTACCATCCATTTGCCTGGAAATTTCAGGATTCCATTGTTTTTTTTTCTGCTGACTAGTACTCCATTGTGTAAATGGACCACATTTTCTCTGTCCACTCTTCAGTTGAGGGGCTTAACACATACTTCTGTGAGACATCTGTCTTCCTATTGTAGTTTAGCCCTGTCTTTCTGATAAGAATTCGCTAAGGGAATTGACTCCCATTTTGAAAGGATTTCAAGGATCTGTTAACACAAAGATTAAAGTGAGATGAGTTTTTAAAATAATTTCCTTCAGTACCCAGCATAGGAAACAAGAATGTTTTCATTTGTGACCAGATTTATCTTCCTTTGCCTGGAATCCTTGTTTGGTTTGCACATTTGTAGTGGTGACAGGAGACGTTTGAGGCAGTACTTCTTCCTTTCCCACCTCCTTTGTTTAATGTTGGTTACCTTGTCGGCTCATTAATCTTTGTCATGTTTTTTATAATCATAGACTTGCTATAGGAGGCTGTTTCAGGTTCTCTTTCCTCACGTAAAGTTCATCAGCTGCATTTACCCATTTGATACTTTGACAAATTTTTAGACTTCAAAATAAAACAAAATTAGTATTGCCTCACTTATATTCTGGCCTCTCTGTGATAAATCTCATGTCATGTTCATTAGGATTTCTTTCATGTTTTGCTTCTGAAAATACATTTTTTTTTGTATTTTACTTTTTTCTTTCCTTTTTTTTTTTGGTTTTTCAAGACAGGGTTTCTCTGTATTGCTTTGGAGCCTGTCCTGGAACTCGCTTACCAGGCTGGCTTTGAACTCACAATGATCTGCCTGCCTCTGTCTCCCAAGTGCTGGGATTAACGACGTGTGCCACCAATGCCCAACTTATTTCTTTTTTAATGTACAGGGAGACATAAAGAAAAATGCTGTAGTAACAGAAAGGAGAGTCCAAAATTGCTGGTTATTCTTGCCTAAGTAAACTAGCCTATAGGTTTCTCTTAAGAAAGATGCCTGGTCAAAGCAGAACAGTTGGATAAGTGAAATCCTCCTGTACTTTAGGAAGTTTTGGATGCTGGGGCAAACTAACAAACTGTTGCCTTCTTACTGACATGTGTAAATCTCCAGTCTCATATGTGTATGTTCCTGTGTGTGTTCAAGCTGTTTCAAGTGTCTGCTATTTCTCCTTTTGAACTTAATGCTAACCTAAGGAACCCTACAGCACTCGCCCGTGGGACCTGCTGGGCCTGCATCAATTGAGCGAGTTCAAGGTACCATTGTATCTGCAGGTTTCCTTTTGCTTGTGGTGTTCAGGGTGGGGACTTAGAGAGGGAAAGAGCTGCTTGACAGTCATCCTCAGGTTCAGAACCCCCAGATGATAGTGTTTTGGATTTTTGCGGGGAGATTTTTTGTTTTTTTGTTTTTCTCTTGAGGCCATAGGCCGAAGATTGATTGACCTCGTCACACAGGGCAGAAAACATGGATGATAAGGGCATCTGTCCAAGGCTTTACTCCTTCCCTACTGGTGTCAGGAGCCTTGGATATGGAATAGCAGTCTGGAAGGAGACAGCAGGTTCTTGCAGAGCCATGGCAGTGTTCATATGCCAAGACCCTGCTTCTCTTTTGTGACTCTGGTACTTAAACTAAGATTGATTAGAAGGAAAACCAGGATTGTGAGTTTCTTGAGGTCACAGTGCTAGTCCTTGACAGGTTGCTCCCCAGTTTGCTCTTTATATAATTCCATCCATACCTCTGACATGGCACAGATTCTGCCTGCACCCTGCTTCTGTTCTTGAGCTGCAAGAGGATTCTGCTGTGGTGAGGTTTCACCCACTCTAAGCTGTCTGAATTATGTTGTCAGTGGTAGAGAGTCATTTCTTGTTTCCTTATGTGTCTTTCACAGCAGTAACCCCCTGTTTGTTTCCCTGTCAGTGCCGATGCAAGACCCCAGAGCAGCTATGCAGCGGGGAGCCTTGCCTGCCAACGTCCCAACTCCTCGTGGTCTGTTAGGAGATGCCCCTAATGACCCGCGAGGAGGCACTTTAATGACTGTAACTGGAGAGGTAGAGCCTAGGTAAGTACTGACGTAGAAGGAAACAGCTTGAGAAGTTGGAAACTTTCCTTACATTGAAAGCAAACTCTTTCTGGAACTGTTGGACCTGTTTGCCTACTTCAAAAGATAAATAAGTATTTGTAGCCACTGTCCAAGATTAAGTACTTTTCCTAAAGCTAATATTAGAGTTAGGAAGGTAAATTTGAGCCAACTATGACTACTGTACTTTCAGAAATTGAAAATTCTAGTAATGTGTACTTAAACAAGGAAAACATGAGACAATGGTACTATTTTTTTAAGTTTCATTTTACTTTCCAATATCAGTTCTCCCTCCCACCAGTCCTCCTGCCTCTCCCCAGCCCCTCCCCATCGACGACTCCTCATAAGTAAGGGCTCCCATGAGGGATCAGAAAAGTATGGCACATTAAGTTGGATCAGGGCCAAGCCTCCCTCCCATGCATTAAGGCTGAGCATGGCATCCCTCCATAGGGAATGTTTTCCAGCAAGCTAGCTCATGAGTGTACCAGGGATAGATCCTGGTCCTACTGCCAGGGACCCCTCAGATAGTCCAAGCTTCATAACTGTCTGCCACATATGGAGGGTCTAGTCTTGTTCAGTGGAGTCTCCACGGTTATGAGTCTGGAGTTCATGAGTTTCCACAAGCTTGGTTCAGCTGTCTCTGTAGATTTCTCCATCATGATGTTGACCTCCCTTGCTCATATATTCCCTCCTCCCTCTCTTCAACTGGATTCCTGGAGCTTGGCCTGGTGCTTGGTTGCGGATCTCTGCCTCTGGTTCCATGAATTACCTGATGAAAGCTCTATGATGACAGTTGGGATATTCACCAGTCTGATTACAGGGGAAGGCCAGTTCAGGCACCCTCTCTACTATTGCTAGGAGTCTTAGTGGGGTCATCCTTGTGGATTCCTGGGAGTTCCCCTAGCACCAGGTTTCTCCTCAACCCTGAAATGCCCCTAGCATCAAGACATCTCGTTCATTGTTCTTACCCTCCATCCCTTCCCCCCCCCCTTGACCATCCTATTCCGCCATGCTCTCTTCCCCCCTCCTCTCCCCTTTACTGGCCCCCCCTCAGTTTACCCAGAAGATGTCATTTAATTTCCCTTCCCAGGGCAATCTCTGCATCCCTCCTAGGCTCCTTGCTACCTAGCTTCTCTGGAGCTGTGGTTTATAGTCTGGTTATCCTTTGCTTTACATCTAATACTTATGAGTGAGTACATACCGTGTTTGTCTTTCTGAGTCTGGGTTACCTCACTCAGGATGTTTTTTTTCCTACTTCCATCCTTTTGCCTGAAAATTTCAAGATGTCATTTTGTTTTACAGCTGAGTAATACTCCATTCTGTAGATGTACCATATTTTCTTTGTCCTTTCTTCGGTCGATGGGCATTTTAAGTGGTTTCCAGGTTCTGGCTATTACTAATAATGCTGCTATGAACATAGTTGAGCAAGTGTCCTTGTGGTATGATTGAGCATCTTTCTTTTGGGTATATGCCCAAGAGTAGTATTGCTGGGTCTTGAGGTAGATTGATTCCCAATTTTCTGAAAAACTGCCAAGTTTGCACTTGCACCAACAATGGAGTAGTGTTCCCCTGACTGATAATGGTACTATTAATGACAGTAGTTGTTGATGTTGCTGGGGATTATACCTCTGGCTTTCCTGTAAGTATTTAACTTAAATCACCTCATTAAATTTTCCTTAGGCTGGAGATGTAACACCAGTGATAGAACACTTGACTAATATTACCAAGGCCCTAGGTTCAGTCCTCAGCCCCACACAGATAGACAGACAGATAAAGCCATATAACTTTAGAAATGAATATTATTAGCCCTGTTTTACAGGCAAAGAAACTAAAGCATATAGAGGTTAAGTTAGTATCTCAGATCATGCAGCTTTATAATAAATGGTAAGACCTAGATTTCAATCAGTCCATCTGAATCCAGCACCAGCTTTGCTAAGCATTATACTGTACAGTCATTGTACATATGATAAGTATCCATTAATTCTTCCCTAATTTTGAATGCCCTGGCCAATAAGAAATTTTAGAATGCATAAATATACATTCTATAGCTTTCCTTTGATCTGTGTGATGTTACTTTCTTTCTTTTTTTTTTTTTTTGTTTTTTTGAGACAGGGTTTCTCTGTATTGTTTTGTAGGCTGTCCTGGAACTCGCTCTGTAGACCAGGTTGGCCTCAAACTCACAGAGATCCGCCTGCCTCTGCCTCCCCAGTGCTGGCATTAAAGGCATGCGCCACCAATGCCTGGCGTGGTGTTACTTTCTTATTACCATTTATTCACTGATGTTTGTATCACTTTTCTGTTGGATATTTGTATATTGATCTTTTTGACATTTCAATGTTGGTACATTATGCTTTAAAATGTGCACTTCTTCCCATCTCTAGAGCTTACTTGGGACCGCCACCACCACCTCATCAGGGCCCACCCATGCACCATGTTCCTGGCCATGAAGGCCGTGGACCACCTCCACATGACATGAGGGGAGGTCCATTAGCTGAGCCCAGACCTTTAATGGCAGAGCCAAGAGGACCCATGCTAGATCAGAGGGGTCCACCTATGGATGCTAGAGGTAAGGGGAAACTGCATCATAACTCCAATTAATAGCTAAGGGTTGATGAAGAACCTGGTTCTCTTAAGCCCTAATATGGGACAGAAATATTGGCAAGAGTTTTTATGATTTACCTACAAATGTGATAAAGGAAACAGTCTCACAGGTAAGGAGAGATGTGACTAGAAATTAGTAGCTGCACACTTTCTTAAAACTTTCTAGGTGGAAGAGATCCCCGAGGATTAGATGCACGAGGGATGGAGGCCAGAGCCATGGAGGCCAGAGGATTGGATGCCAGAGGACTGGAGGCCCGTGCCATGGAAGCTCGTGCCATGGAGGCCCGTGCTATGGAGGCCCGTGCCATGGAGGCCCGTGCTATGGAGGCTCGTGCCATGGAGGCCAGAGGCATGGATACCAGAGGCCCAGTACCTGGACCTAGAGGACCTCTGCCTAGTGGAATCCAAGGTCCCAATCCAATGAACATGGGGGCCGTCGTTCCCCAGGGATCAAGACAGGTAATACTTGTAGCATCCACATAAAATGTTAATGTAATAGGGACTTGTTTACTGAACCTGATTTTTATTATCTTCTGACTTGAATGAATCTGCTTGTTAGAAAGGAGGTTCTGCTTTTACTTTCTCATATCCCTTAGGAGAAGGGTGTCCTAGCCTCTAATCCAAAAGAACAACCTTGTTCCACAATTTTAGTAGCAATTTCATCCAGAAAAACCTCTGAAAATGAAAATGAACAGGTCAGGGAGTAATTGCACTAGATGTACAAACAAATATCATGTACAAAGCCCCCCACCAAAAAAAGTACTTGTGCAGATCTCAGGCCATTTGAAAAACCTCCCCCAAATGATTACAGTGTGATCCTGATATTATCTCAGGGTGGTAGAGACCTGTGTGGATTTATTGTCATCACAACATCTAAATGAACAGTGGCATAGGAATGGCAATCTGCATATAATTCTGTCTCTTCTGTCTCCTTGACTTGGTTCACTCCAGCTGTGTGTATGGGATGCTTTCTAGTAGTCATTTATCATTTGCAGTTGGTTGTGTGGAGATGGAATGTGTATCTTCACAAGTTTCTATATGTAATGCCTTCATTCTTCCATTTCTCTTTCCATTTTCATGTGATTCTGTGTCTTCCAGTGTTGGGAGAGAAAAAGGAAAGAGAGAGAGATCAAAACTGGAATACAGCATGTCTGCATCCAGTTCTCTCATTTTATAGATTTGGAAGCTGAAGGCAGCAAGTCCAGTGACTTGGCCAAATCCACCTAACTAAAACAAAGCATGTGTATATGTGTCTCTGTGTGTGGATGAGACAAAATTGTCACTTGTTGGTATATATAGAAGAAAATGTATTTTCTGTTTTATTTCAAGTTTTGCTTTTAAAAATGTGTGTATGAGCTTTGATTTTTTTTTTGTTGCACCCTCTATGGTCAGCAGCCTCATAACACATGTTTTTTTTTCTTCGTTTTTTTATGAGACAGGGTTTCTCTGTATTGTTTTGGAGGCTGTTAGTCCAGCCCAGCCTTGAACTCACAGAGATCCGCCTACCTCTGCCGCCCGAGTGCTGGGATTAAAGGCATGTACCACCAACGCCCGGCATAACACGTTTTTTATACATTCTTTCAGTACTTAACTTATTAACCACCTACTAAATACCAAGCATACTAGGGCTATAGTAGTACAAACAGCAAAATCTTGTCATGCTAGCTGGAGAGAGACATCAAGTAACTATATACGTGCTTATGTAATTCTGACCATTCTGTGGACAAAGACATTGAAACTGATGGCTTGCTTCTTTTTCTCTGCTAGTGTTTGAATTCATTACTAATGTTAGGGGTTTTTTGTTGTTGTTGTTGTTGTTGCCTTGGGTTTTATAAATTTGGTTTTGTGATGCTAAGACTCAGCCTAGAACTACAAATGCTAAATAATCTATCACCAAGCTATACCCCTGTCCAATATAGTTTTTAAGTCTATAAAGCCAATGAGACCCAAGGTAGAGAAAATAAGAACTTCAAATTGATACATATATAAATAATACATCCTAGTTATCTATAAAAGCTTTATACCTCTTATGATAGATAGTTGCCATTATTAGATTTTTTTGAGACAGTCTCTTCATGTAGTCCTGACTGACTTAGAACTCTCTGTATATACTGGACTGGCCTTGAACTCACTGATATTTGCCTGCCTCTGTCTCAGAAGTGTTGGCATTAAAGGCATCACCATCACATATGATTTATCTGATATTTTCAGTGTATCTTTCTATTTTTATTCTTTTTATGATCTTTGTTTTTTTAACTTAATAAGGCTTTCATATATATTTTAAGTCAGATTTTAAATTTAACTCCATTCCATGCAGTTAGAAGCTTGTAGCTAAAGATTTGTTGTTACTAAGGTAGCTATATAATTTGTCATACAAAGAAGGATGCATTTATGAATGAAAGTGCTGTTAATAATTTACTCTGAGACAAGAGTATAAACTGGGACTGTCTTAGACCAACCAAGGTATGTGACCAGTCTTACTAGTACTTATCTGCCTGGTACAGGTGTTCTTGGAAACGTCAACTGGCCAGTTTGTGTAGTTATTTCATACTACACTGTCTCAGATTGCTATTATTCATTATTAGTAAATTCCTAAGTGACTGTACCCAGAGGTGGTTCATATCCACAATAGATCATTAAGGTTGACACAAGTCCGTGGACTAAGTATTAATATAAACAGAACAGTAGTAGTATTTCAGCATCCTCTGTGTGCCATTGCTTCATGTACCCAGTGTCTTAGAAAAGAGCTGATGTATGTGAATGAGTATTCCAGGTGTCTTGGTTACTATTGCTGTGAAGAGACATCGTGACAATGGCAACTCCTATAAAAGAAAGCATTTCATTGAGCTTTAGTTCCGTTATGGTGGGAAGTATGGCAGCAAGCATGGGATGCATGGTGCTGGAGAAGTAGGTGAGAGCTACATCCTTATCCATAGGCAAAAGGGGAAACAGTGGACTTGGAATGGACTTTTGAAACCTTAAAGCCCACCCCTAGTGACCCAGTTCCTCCAGCAAGGCCACACTTCCTAATCCTTTGAAATCGTGCCGCTCCCTAGTAAATAAACACAGCCGTATGAAACTCTGGGGGCCATTTTTACTCATATCACTGTATTTGACTCCCTGGGTCTTATAGGCTCATAGCTATATCATAATGCAAAAATTCACTCAGTTCACCTTCAAAAGTCCCCATAGTCTATCACAGTCTTAACACTGTTCAAAGTCTCACCTTGAGACTCCACAATTTCTTAATTGTGAACCCATAAAATAAAAAAATCTATGTGGATCACACACTCCCAGCATACACTGGCACAGAATATCCAATACCATTTCAAAAGGGACCATAGTAAGGAAATGCTGGACTAAAGGAAGAATGAAAATCAGCTGGGCAAACTCCAAATTCTGCATCTCCATGTCTGATGTCAACACCATCATAAGTTCTCCCAGTTCCTTGCTGCTTTGTTGACTGAAACACACTTCTCTATTGGGCTGGATCCCCCACTCAATCTGCAGCTTTTCTTGGCAGATATCCCATGACTCTGGCATCTCCAACATCTTAGAGTCTCCAATGAAACCCAGGCTTTACCTTCACAGTTTCACACAGTGGCCTCTCTATGCCTCCATACAAGGACACCCTTGACACATACCTGGCCTCAGCAGCTTTCCTTACCCTCGAGGGAGATCCCACAACCCTTTTTTGTATCATTGACTCTAAAGCTAGAACCCTTGTGGCCAAAGCTTACAAGTTCTGCTGCTTGATGGGGCTGGAATTCGACCTCCTTGTTCATTTATATTTTTATCAGCTTTTTGTTGTTTATGGTTTCCTTTACTGCTTAAGCTTTTCTTTGAATTCTTTTTCACAAGTTGAAGCTTAGCTGGGTGAGTGGGGTCTTACACTGACATCACCGCTCCCTTTTTTTTTTTAAAGTAAAAGTAAGTTAAAAACAAGGTAGGGGTTAGGGTCAGCATCACTTCTAGGAACCAAGTCCTGATCACGTGGGAGAAGTGACCAGATGCTCCCTGTGTACATCCCACTGTGCCTTCAAGCACGGAGCACAGAGTCCTGTGCCCAGCACCAGGTCAACTTCCAGCCAGCGTTGGTAGCTCAGAGATCCATAGGGCATGGAGTCCCCATCCATACCTGATCCACAGGCACCTCCAGATCAGAGCCACCTGAGGGACTTGTTGCACTGGGAGCCCAGGAGAGGGGTTCAAAGGGACGAGGGGTCTTTAGAAGGACCATCTGTGAAGTCAGCATCAGAGGCACAAAGGAAGCAAGAAAACCACAGCTGTACCCAGGAAGGGAGAAGACTCAGGACACAGACAGGCCAGGCTCATAGAAGCAGATCATCTGAAGTCCAGGCCTGAGCCAAGCAGGAGGGACTGCTAGACTGGAAACATGTAGAGCAAACAGAGGAGTAGACGCATAAAATCTTCACTGAGGATGCAAGGGGCAGGGGCATGAAGGGCTGTCAAGACCATTGCTGAACTCCAGCTTCAGGACCAGTTGCTCTGTGTTGCCAATCTGGATATGGGCCACTAATTTCCTTGAGTCTGTCCCACTATATAAAAACAATATTTCTGCCACATACTGGGGAGACATGGTCCAACTTGAGAAGGGGGACAGGGGATCCTGGCAGCATTCGCTCACCTGCCAGAACTTGATAGTCAGAGCAGGTTCAGGCCTGTTATAAGTTGCATGGTCAGGAGTAAATCCCAGGTTTACTATTACCCAGAGTTTCTGTTCTCATCTTGGTAGTGACCAGGACTTACACAGGTAAGACTCAAGGGGGGTATCCCCAGGGGAGTAGTAGCCATAGTGAGCTCACCACTCCTTTTATTTCACTAAGTATCATGCTTTTCTTTAAACTCTTTATCTCCTTGAGCACTGGGCTTAGCTCCACTATACTTTTTTTCCTTTTCTCTATAAACTATATGGGTTTTTTCCCTGCTCATCTCACTCCTTTTCATTATATCTTTGTGTAAGAGTGGCCACTAACAACAACACACGAGAGTCAATATTTGGCAGTTTTGAAATCTCTGATAGTGCCATTAATCCAAAACTTTTCATTTAGCCTCAGATTTTTAAGACTCGGGCAAAATCAGCTACATTCTTTGCCAAAATGTCATAAGAATGGTCCCTAGGCCATTTACTAATATTCTCCTCTGAAACTTCTTGAGCTAGGCTCCCACGGTTCACATCTCCCTCAGCACTCCCTTTCTTTCTCCTACTAAGATGACCCATTAAACCCTGGTTAAAGCATCCAACTGTTTTATAGTCCAGTCTTCTATATTCCACCAACAAGCAGCATGGTCAGACCTGTCACAGCAATACCCCAATTCCTGATACCAACTTATGACTCACTCACTGTTCTGTGAAGAGACGCCATGACCAAAACAACTCTTCCAAAGCATTTAATTGAGGACATGCTTACAGTTTGAGATGTTTAGTCCCATTATCATGGTGGGAAGCATGGCAGCAGGCATGGCGTCTGTGGTGCTGGAGAGGTGGATGATTGATCAACAGGCAGAGGGAGATACTGGGCTTGGCATGAGCTTTTGAAACCTCAAGGCTCCCTACCCCCAATGACACACTTGTTCCAACTCCCCACACCTAATCCTTTCAAATAGTGCCACTCCATGGGGAGTTAGCATTCAAATATATGAGCTTGTGGGAACCATTCTTACTCAAACCAGATGAAAGAATTATTTTAAAAATTGTTTGAACTATTTTAGTGAAAAAAGAATGGAGTCAGTATATTTTATGCTTCCTATTTTCTTAAGGAAAATACAAAAAAATAGTTAAACCATTTTATTACTAAAAATCAATGTGGAAATAGATCGATTATTATTTATGTTATAATGTAAAACATAGTTTTATCCTATGGGGTGTCTGCCCCCTTTGCTGATGGACCTGGTTCTTCACGTTGTTATCACATCGTCTATCCCTGATAGGTGTTTCCCTGTATTCTATACTTCATGGTGGTAATCTGGGAAAGCAAGTAACAAGTTTGTTAAAAAGTTGTTTGCAATAAAAGTATCTTAACTCTGGGTAAGAGCCTGAGCGTGAGTATCACAGGTGTAGAGCACATCTAATTAGAGGCATTTTCCTTGGGTTCTGGTTGTCTTCCAAAGGATTGGACACACTAACAACTCTAAATGCCAATAAATATGTTATAGCTACATTTTATTCTAACTTGAGTAATATTTCTTGGTGTGTATTAAGCAGGATGCAGTTTCCATATACTGTCTCTAGAGAGCTCTAAAAAGACCCAAGGGCTGGAAAGATAGTTTTGTGGTTAAAAGCACTAGTTATTGTATAGAACCTGGGTTTGTATCTTAGCACCTATATGTAACTCCAGTTCCAGAGAATCCAGCACCCTCTTCTGGCCTCCATGGGCACTAGGCACGCATGTAGTGCACAGATATACATGCAGGCAAAAACCTGTGCACATAAATAAAAACAAGCTTAAGAAATTCATACCACTGTTGGTATATTCAGAGTTTTGATTTTTGCTTTAAGAAATGTCTAGGCAGCAAATGTTGGGCTAATACCGTCTTTTCCCCCAGACACCTGCTTATCTCCTTTCTACCTCTCTGACACTGACCGTCTGTTTTATGGGGTAGACTCCCTTGAGAATAATTACCAATGTATACCTGAACTAGAGTTAGGCAGTAGTCTTGTGAACGTTTCTTCCCCAGCAGAGCGGTATTCAGTTGTGTAAAGTCTATTGGCTTTGCTTGTGTTTACTCTGAGCATTAATTTCTCCAGTGCTCATAGTTTTCCCTATGCTTATTTTTCTAATTTAATGCCCCCTTCCTATATACTGTGTATTATTTGTTGATAATGGACCTGCTACATGCAAGGATGTGTATGCTAGTGGATCTTTGTCTAAACACTGCCTTCTGCTTTTGCTAACAGTATAAGCTGATCTTTAGGTCATTAATTCTCTTTTCACTCTACCCATGTCAAGACTGGTGCCGTATCGAGGTTCTGTGGACATCGGGAATTCTGTATGCTGTCTCCTTTCTTTGTACCTATAGGTCCCAGTCATGCAAGGAGCAGGTATGCAAGGAGCGAGCATGCAAGGTGGAAGTCAGCCTGGTGGCTTTAGTCCTGGACAGAGCCAAGTCACACCCCAGGATCATGAGAAGGTAAGCAACACTGCCTGACCATCTCCCTCTGCACAAATCTAGTCTTTTTGATCTTTTCACAGTTATCATGAATATCCTGTGTCTTCAAAGTCCCTTTTGAGGTGATGTTTACTCTAACTTAGAAATCACTAATGATCTTGGCTGAGCATTTTGGAGATCTGATCCTAAAGTTTTTAAGTGAATTTAATTGGCAACTTATTTTACATTTCAGACTCATCTATAAATGTCAAATTTTTTTCTGTGCAAGCCAAACTGACTTAAAAATCCAAGCTCCTTTCTGCCTCCCCTTTCTCGATACTTAAAAAAAAACAATAGCAGATTCACCACAAGTATATGTTTCTGTTGTTATACTTGGCTGTTGTTGGGAGCTTGTGTCTGATGGGAAGGTTTAAACTTGTGAAAAGGCAAAATTCAAAATAGCTAATAACTTAAAAGAGTTCCCAGGACTCACACATACCATCTTAGTATGCAGGAACTTTTGAGTTCCTGGGACATCGTCTATTCTTAGGTGTTTCCATTTATTCTTGTGCTTCATTATGCCTTTTCTCACCATTTTCTTTCTCTTTCTGGCTTACAGTTTGGGGTGTGTGCGTGTGCGCTTATGTGCAAGAGAAGAGATAAAGAGAGAAATCCTCCCTTTCCCCATTTTGTTTTGTATCCCATGACAATAGCTTTTTGTGCACAAGCTGGTGGTGTTTTTGTTTTCTTTGACTTTCTGACTCATCAATGAACTCACAGCCTTTCCTTTCCTCTGCACAGGCTGCTTTGATTATGCAGGTCCTTCAACTGACTGCAGACCAGATTGCCATGCTGCCTCCTGAGCAAAGGCAGAGTATCCTAATCTTAAAGGAACAGATACAGAAATCTACTGGGGCACCTTGAAAGGTGAGCTGACTGAATGGGCTGGGCAGAACTAGGTCCTTGTATATGTGGAGTATATAAGTTCAACCTTTGACAGCAGTGTTCTCTGAGGCCCCGATTTTACTAGGTTCTCTTTATCCTTCAGTAGTCAGCACCTCTGGGGATAGAGTAAGGCTGGAGAACATTTGCTCAGTTGTTGAATTATTTTCAGCCTTTTCTAATGATGAAATTAATATAGGGTAAGTTTCCCAAAATTAATAAGACATAGGAATGTAGAAAATTAAAAGGGGAGTAAGATAGCTCAGGAGGTAAAGGTATTTGTTGCCAGAACTGTTTGATCTGCAGAACTCACATGGTAGAAAGGAAAACCAACTCCCCCCACGGTTTCCTCTGACCTTTACACACTGTGCACTTACAATAAATATATGTAAATGCTAGGTAGGTACCGGTGAAGGCCCTGCTTCCTGAATCTCATTCCCCCAACAGAACCTATCAAAAAAGTTTGGTGCGTATCATTCCATGATTAATTGTTTTATCACAAACTATTCCTTCAAAATGGAGGAAATACTTTGTATTTCAATAAAAGGTTACTCTTTAGGCTTCTAGTTTTTGTTTTGTAGTGCGTCTGTGTGTATGTTTGTATGTGTCTGTGTTTGTCTCTGTCTGTCTGCCTGCCTGCCTGCCTGCCTGTCTGTCCAGATCTCATATAGCCCAGACTAGCCTTGAACTCCCTATGTAGCTGATGATAAGCTTGAACTTCTGGTCTTCCTGCTTCCACTTTTCAAGTGCTAAGATGACAGGCTTGCAGCATTGCACTGTGCTTTTAAGTTCCTGGAGATAAAACATGGGACTCGTGCATTCTAGGCATCGCTATACCAGCTGAGCTATATCTTAGTCCTTGTAATGAATATTTTGATGGTCCACTATTAAACGCCATTTAAAGTAGTAGCTGTCCCTGCCAACATCAGTCTGTTTGCATTTTAAAGATGACTGTACAGTACCATTATTTTTCTTGTTCATCTGTCAGATAACAAGGATCCAAGTGTACTTGCCTCATAAATAATCATGTGATCAAACTTGCTATATAAACGTTGTTTTGTTTTCAAAAGTGTTTCCCCATCTTTGTATTCCATAAACAATTCTGTTCTCTGGGAGCAATTTAAGTTTCATATTGTCCTAATACCTGTTGGAAAGTCTTCTTTGGAATTTTTACTTTTTAACCCCACATGTCCCATGCACATGTTACCAAATAACAGTGAACTCATTTATGATAATTAGCAGTCTTACTAACAATACTGTAGTCTGTATTTGTAGTCCTTTCAAAGCTTCCAAATTGCAAATATGCATCCCATCTACTGAGACTTTAAATGACTGCACTATAACTGGAAGTGATCATAGACGGTTGGATAACGAGACTTCTAGTATTCCTACTTTGCCTTTTTTCCATATATCCCAAACATTCTATTTTCTTCATTAAAAATATGGACTATAATCATAGGAATTTACTTTTAAAAATTATGTCAGAGAAGGCATTAATGCTCTGCAGTTTGATAAAATACTTGTTTTAGAGTATGAAGATAGACATATTTCTAAAAATTCTTTCATTGTATAGTCTTAATTATATCTCCTTTGCATTGTATACTGACCTCAGGAAAAGATTTTACAGGATTTTTATTTTAACCTCTTCAAGTGGTCATTGTTTCATAGGAAGTTGGGAAAATAGTACAAAGGACCTGGAAGCCTTCACTGTTTCCCTCAGTGATAGCATCTTACATTTTTGCTTTGTAGTACAAGGCTGTGCAGTTGTCCTTGGTATATTACTGTGAACTAGACTACAAAATGTTTTCAATTTTGACAAATCAGTTATTTATACCAGTATATGTGAAGCTATGACTAATTTTATGTGCGTAAACTCTACTGGAATTTATGCATGTTGTGGCTGAAGCATTGGCATTTCATCTTAAACTTTTAGTTTTGGTCCTTTCTCCCATCACAGACAATGTTAGTTATCACTATTGGAGATAAAGTGGCATAAGTAGTTCTTGTACTGGAGAAAGAACTCAGTTCCTAAAGTGCTTACTATACAATCACTGGTACCTAAGTTCAAACCCCGGAACCCACTTAGATGGGGAGGTGGAGATGAAGATCGTGGGGCTTGCTGACCAGCCAGCCTAACCTAATCAGTGAGCCCCATGTCCCAGTGAGGCACCCAGTCTCAAAATCCCAGGTGGATGGCCATCCTAAGGTTTAACACTTGAGATTGACCTGGACTTCTTACTTCTGCACTCATGTACATATATATGTATGTATGTGTATATATACACACACACATACACATAAGAGAAAGAGTAGTTTTGAAGTAGAAAAGGCTTGCCTGCCTATGGTATATTTGTCAGTTTCTATAGACATTTTATGTTGTCACAACAATAGAATAGTATGCGACTGTCATTCAGTGGGTAGAGATTAGAGATGCTCCTCAACATCCCATAGTGATACACAGGACATCTTCCTTACTCCTTATGAGAAAGCACTTTGGCTGAAAATGTCCTACCTAAGGCTGAGAAGTGCTGCTGAAAAGGACAATGAGAAGACGTGACATGAGGCAGACACTGGCCGTGTGATCCTCAGCACATCCTCTTCCCTCCGTCCAGTGTGTTCTTCACTTTTTATGGGGGGTAGTTGTTTTAGCTTGTGTTTAGGAAGAGAAGTCCACTTATAGCTTTCTCCAAACTCTTTCCTACAGGTTCTCAAAAATACCTGGCAACATATCTGGAAATACAGTTCCGTAACATTGTTGAAATCTTGAAAACTGGTGACTTCTGCATCCTAACCCCCCATGACTCAAATTGGTGCCAGGTGGAGGACTCAAATCACCATTTCTCCAAACAAAAGCAGTTCATTCTGTTGTCTTAGTTTGTATATTTTCTGTGATAGTAAATAAACTTTGAACACATTTTAACATACTGCAAATTGATATACATAACCAATCCTTTTGCTTTTAAGAAGCTAAACACCAAGGTAAAAGCTTAGAGATATTTTCTACCCTTAGCAGCCTTGTCCTTTAATCTTATATTGCCATAGCTCTATTCTTTCTTTAGCATAAACGTTTATTCTTCTTAATGATACTTGAGTATTTTTTGGAAGCAATGTTTAAAGGAGCTTTGTATTTTGTTGAGTTTGCATTTGGCAAGGTAGTAAGATTTGTCCTTTGAAAACTTTATAAAATCTCTGAGTTTTCTGGGACAGAAATCAAGTGTTTAAAACTATCAAATGGCCAGATGGCCAACAAGCAAAGAGCATATCACAGTAATGTTTGGTTTAAGAAAATCCAGTTATCCAGTGTCGTTTGGTCAGTAGCAGGTCTGAACATACTTAGTTCAGAGTTAAGGCAAAGATTGTTTTGGCACTGGTATGAGTGTATGTGTGTCAATAACCTGAGAGACTGTTGTAAAGCTCTTCTGTCTAGATAGCCAACTTTACAAGTTTACAAAGCCACTAGTTTTCCACATGTTCAAATTTAATAAGGAAAATCAAGTGAACAAAATATATTTTATCCCTCTTTCAGAAAATGGCAAAGCTTTCAGCTCTTTCCTTTAGATTCATTCCAAGAACTTAATACAGAAAACCCTAAAACTGTACAGTTTCAAGTCTTTTAAAAGGACCAAGTATACAGCACACGAAGGCAGATTGTCTGATGTGGTTGCCTGCTTTTTTTCCAAGTACTACCTACTTGGAAGGTAATTAGTGCCATTGGCCTGTGCTAACCTGCAAGTCATCTTGCCCTTTGTTCTCCACATGATGGCATTATAAGGAACAGCATGGTTTCTTCCCAGCAGGGAAAACTAAAGACATCTGAAGAGATGCCTTAATAACTAGTAAAGTTTACTAGAACTAATTGTAAGATCATTTATATTCTCAGAACCCTACCCTCTGTGTTAGGATTATGGGCAGGTGAATTAAAATCATTACTTAGGCATACAAAGCATAATAACATTGCTTACATGCCAAACAAAATAATGCCAAGATATTAAAATTGAGGGATTTTTCTCTATATTTACAGTGAAAATTTGCTGGATGTCATACAATAATCAAGAAAAGTGCAAAACAGCAAGCACTCTCTGCCTAATCCACTTAATCCCAAGTTCAACTAGGATGTTAATTATGCATACAGTTCATTGTTTTCATTACCTTCTTGCCTCCTGCATAAATAATCAGTCAGTGATGTGATGATTTTAGCAGCTGGCATGACTTAAAAGTGCCAATATATTTAGACACAGAGACCATAAGGAAAGTATTTCTAGTTAGGAACTTGGATTTTCCACAACCAATTCTCAATCAAGATTACTGAGGCTAAAGTTATTTGGTAAGCAGTTGTCTAATAGAAACCATATCCTGGAAATCCTGTGTACATTTTCCCAAAGCCTCATTAAACTTAATGTTGGTTAGCAGACACTCAGGTGAATAAATGACAAGAGCAGTGGCATCCCAATTCATCCCCATGGAAGTACTCATCAGTGTTTTTACTGGTGTAATAGTACCGTTAGCTACCCGCAAGTTCACGACCTGTCTTTATTATGTTCAGACTAGTGAGTGAAAAATGATCCTGCTAATCCTATAATCAAGCTATAGGTTCCAAGATAATTGGAAAGGTAAATTTGTTTGCTCTTAATCAAGAAAATAGGTGGACTAGATTCAATCTGCTAAGTGTATTGAGTTTAGCAGTCTGAGCACAATGGAGTGTGGGATTTTCTCCCTCTGAGGAGCCTGGGGCTTCTTTTTTGTGAGTCACTCCAGAGCCAGTGTGGTTATTGTCCTGGTTAATAGGAAAAAGAATGACATTTAGTGAATGATCCCTCAGGAAGACCTGGAGAATAGTCAAAATTATAAATTCTTTATTGTCTTTTTATACTGGACATTCATAAATGAAACTCTTTAACAAAAATGGTGGAGAGCTTGCTGTTGAATTAATTTATCCCATGGTGTAGGCCGGGCCTTCCCAGTCTTTTCAAACAATACAAAATGGCAATGTAGTTGGCTTCTAATTATAATGCAAATTTGATTACAGTTAATATACTTCAGATGGAAAGCCTAGAGAAAGTAAGCAGAATTGTTCAATAAGCAACAATGAAAAACTTTCAATTGTTTGACAAAACAAAGTGTAAACTGTGGTCACACTGGATAAGATTGTGTTTAACAATGTACCTAGTGAGTATGGTAAGGGAGTGGGAATCTTGGTAACTTTATGTCTATTATTTATGATTATTGTTTTGTCATGAATTCAATAAATATTTGAAAAGTCACCCTACTTAGAAATCTTCTGTGAGGGACAAGTGGGAGAGGAGACGATGAACAGAGCTCGGGAAGCAAGCAAGACACGAGAGATGAAATTGTTCAAGCGTCAACCAGCGAAGCTCAGCTGAAGTCAGGTTTCCCAGGATATACAGTCACCCCCACAAAAACCAGTTCGTGTGCTTTGCAGTTACCGTGACGTATGCAGCTCTTGGGTTGGCAAAGCTCAAGTATGATGAAGTTGAATGCAAACTTGCAAAAGTGGGGCACGAAGTCCTTGTGAGGCACAGTATTATCTAGTAGCTGACCCGCAAGTTGGTGAGGTGAAAAAGGAAAGTACAGTCTACTGCACCGCTTTCTGCATTTCAGAAAGTGGTACAGTCTACTGCACCGCTTTCTGCATTTCAGAAAGTTTCTTTGTTGAAGTAGAATTGAACCTTCCTAGGATCCAGACTTGAGTATCGCTGACAGCATTTGCGCAGGCTCTTCGCCAGAGACCGAGGGCCACATAAGAAAACCCCCACTACAGACCTGTAAGAATAGAGCAATAGTAATTACCTGGATGCAACGAAAACTGAAGATAGTGGTGAAAATGGAGAACAGTCTCTGCTACTCTCAATATCGTCAAACAGAAATTCTGTTGTCTCATACAAAACTACCTGTGTGTGACTGGGTCCATCATTCTGTCCTTTGCTGGGGTTCACACGGCCCTATCACTCTGAGGAGCTACTGCAGTGATGGTTGCGGAGGGAGTCATTTTCACCATTTTCTTCAGTCCTGTAGCCCTGGTAACTTGCCCAAGTGCTGGAAGCAACCCTAATTAAGCTCACTAGGTCACCAAAAAGGGGGGGGGACCCATGAAAGTGGAAGAGGGATGAGTTAAAGAAATCAGGAGTGGGAGGGGCACAAGAAAAAGGGTCATAGGAGGTAAATATCCAAATCCAAGTGGCCAGCCCTGAAATCATACACATAAAATAACAGTAAACTGACTAAATAGGTGGCATTTATGTATAATCAATCGAAGAGGCTATGAATTTGAGAGAGCTAGGGGAGACATGGAAGGAGTTGAAGAAATAGTTTAATTATATTTTTATTTCAAAAGATTAAAATACATTATATACAAATATGAAAATATAATGAAATCCATTGTATATAATTAATATGTTCTGATAAAAACAAATTCAGTTGTTGAATTCCTACTTTCTTCCAAGAAAATTTTTTAACCTTTTTTATTTCCAAGTCTTAAATACGCTCTCACCTTCCCCCATTTTATTGAGAACAGAGATACAAGAGGTGTAGTACAATACCGTTGTTAAATGTTAGGCTTTGGGGTGGGGGCAAGATAAAAAGGAGAAATTAAGGGGAAATGAGCAGGGAGAGAGGACCCTCACCCTGAGATCTAATTTGCTAAGTGAAGAAACCTCAACCCAGATGATAAAGCCAAAATGGACCTACAGAGATAATGGAAGTTTTTTCTAATGACACATCAAGTAAGAGTGTTAAAATGATGAACTGTGCTTGTGCTTCCCCAGGACTACAGTGTTTGTTACCTTGCATTTCCCTGTATAGGCTTGTCTATCTCATACTTCACAAAGGCACCTGACAACATTGTCACAAAAGAACAACACTTAAGAAAAGTAAGAAACTCTGGTTTCTATTCAATTTTTAAATTTCCCCTAAATTTTGAGCTTTGTTTAATCATTAAACCATGTAAATTATACCCCTTGGGGAATGCAAACCCAAGGACAGGATTATACATAGTCATTGCAGAGGTACATATGCAACTCTCTTGAGAAGCCTGCGTCCACGTCTTGGGTTTGTATACCGTCCTTGTCCTATATGATGCTCATTTAAATACTTAAACTCGCTGACTTTTTTCACTTTGGTTGTGCTTCAAATTATTTTCTGCCACATAATCTCCTTTTCCTGAATGGAGGTCTCAAAGGGGAAATGGTTGGCTTTCTCAGCTACTTTAGACAGAGCCAGTGTGCCTGACACCCCAACTATGTCCCTATAAACACATTGTTAACCCCTTTCCCTTTTGAAAATTGGAATACAAACAGCACCTACCTTACAGGGTTGTTCTAAGAATTAAAAACATAAAATAAATGGAAAAGTGCCTGCCCCACAGCAAATGCATATGATTGGAGTGCTATATAAACTATCTTTTGTGAACTTATCCCCACCACAAACTTTACTGTGCCTTTCAAGGTGGTATGCTGCCAAAGCCAACCTTCCTAATGCTGTGGATTTCAACTTCTCCCACCTGTCCTCTTTTTTTTTAATTTTTATTCTTGGTTTTTCGAGACAGGGTTTCTCCCTGTAGCTTTGTAGACCAGGCTGGCCTCGAACTTGCCTCTGCCTTCTGCCTCCCAAGTGCTGGGATTAAAGGCGTGTGCCACCACCGCCTGGCTTCTCCTCTTTTTAAGTCTAATTGTGGTATAATACATGTACTATAAAGTGCACCCTTTGAACTGTACAATTAGTGCTTTTTAGTGTAACCACAAAGTTATGCAGCCATCATCACTAATTCCATCCCCCGTGTTTATATTAGAACTTACTGGTTTCCTCCCAGCCATACCATCCTACCCTACAAAATCACTAATCTTTCTCTACATCCAGACTCATACCATAAATGATCTTTGCTTTCTAATAGTGTTCATTTAAAAAATATTGTGTATGTGTGTGGGGGGGTGCATGTACATGTGCCTGCAGAATCCCAAAGAGGGTATCAGATACCCTGTAGCTGGAGTTACAGGAAGTTGTGAACCACATTTTATGGGTGATGGGAACTGAACTCAGGTCCTCTGGAAGAAGAGCAAACACTGTTCACCACTGAGGTGTATCTCCCCTCTGGTTTCTCTTACTAAGCCTAGTGTCTTCAAAGTTAATCCAGGGTATTGCATGTGTCAGTACTTCTTTCCTCTTTATAGATGAATAAAATTCCATTCTGTACATACAACACATCTAGTGACAGGAAGCTGGGTTGTTTTCACTTTAGGCTGTTGTGAATAATGCCGCTATGTACATGCATGTGCAAATTTTTTTGTGTGTGTAGTCATGCCATTTCTCTTGTGTATCTAGCAGGGAGTGGGATTTCTGAGTCCTATGGGTCTAACAATTTGAAGGACTGTTGAAGAGATTCCTCCAGGTGTTGCATTCCTATAATCTATTAGTAAGAGTCCTAATTCTCCAGTTCCTGGCCAACACTTGATACTGTTCATTTTTACTTGGACATTTTATTCATCTCTCATACCTCCTGGATGTTACCCTGTCTCTAAAATACACTCAGTTCATCTTTCTACCGAACAGTAAGCTCTTCTTGAGCCTGCCATTCCAACACTCGTATCCACGCTGCTGTAATATTTCTTTTGGCTTCTGGGACAACCAATTCTCTTCATCTTGAGCCTTTATCCCTGATTTATTTCTCCCTCCCCACATTCTGAAGGCAGTCCTTTAGAATGTTCTTTCTCTCTCTCTCTCTTTTTTTTTTTTTTTTTGGTTTTTTGAGACAGGGTTTCTCTATGGCTTTGGAGGCTGTCCTGGAACTAGCTCCTGTAGACCAGGCTGGCCTCGAACTCACAGAGATCCGCCTGCCCCTGCCTCCCAAGTGCTGGGATTAAAGGCGTGCGCCACCAACTTTCTCAGAGGGCAATGTGGAGAGAAAGCAGAATGGGGTATATCTCCAGAAAGAAAGAAATCAAACCGGGGGCATTTGGTTGTGGTTGCAAGATCATGGCCCTTGCTTTACTAAAAACCCAGATGAAATTTCCTCAGTCTGAAAGTTTTCTATTAAATTTATTTATTTAGTGTGTGTGCGTGTGTGTGTGTGTGTGCGAGCGCGCGCGAGCGAGAGAGAGAGAGAGAGAGAGAGAGAGAGAGAGAGAGAGAGAGAGAGAGAGAGAGAGAGAGAGAGGTCAGAGCTCAACAAGTGGGCAGAGTGCAGGGTTCAAGTGTGGAGGTCAGGACAACATGGTGGAGTTTGTTCTCTCCTACCATATGGGGTCTCAAGGATTGAACTTGGATCATCAGTCTTGGTGGCAAACACCTTACCTGATAATCTATCTACCTCACTGGTCCTTTCTGTCCCAGAGATCTTTTCACAGGTGTCCTCGGTATATTTAAATTCTAACTCTTTAGACTCAATTAACTAGAGGGCAAGGTACTTACTTGGGGTGAGCAGCAGCTATTCTGGAAAACTCATTGTCCCACATTGGTCTCCCAAAGGAGGTTTTTTGTTTCAGACCTGTCAGGATGTCAGTGGCTTTGTCAAAGTTTAACGCTGCATGACCAGCCTGGAACAAGGGAAATATAAAATTAGAAAAACCAAGTTTGACAGCTGCCTCTTCCTTCATCCACTTTGAAACTTTTGGTGTGAGGATGATGATGAGGCAGGTAAGAAATGATAAGGAATACTTATTTTGGTACTCATTCATGATATTTTGTCTTAACATTTGATATCGGAATCAGTGTTTTATTTGAACTCACAATGTTGCTATCCCATCCAGTGAGAAAAAGACGGTAGTTTAGGAAATCCATTTTGCCTAATGCCTCCATCTCTTGTTCAAGGGAATTCAATAAGTTGTTGAACCAGGCAAAAGCACCTGTCTCTCTGCAGATCCAGTAGAAATAGATCTGAAATCAGCAAAACAGTCCATGTCCTTATTAAATATCCTTCATAACGTACACTGTGATGACACATTTGTGTATGTGTGTGTGTGTGTAAAACATATATAACACACATGTATATACATAGGCATATCTATATTCATTGACCAAGTCTAAGGGTAGTGAATCACATTTATAGAGTGGAAGACTTAGTTTGACTGTCCGGAGTCCTGACAAGTTTCTATTATAGAAGAAACCTTCAAAGGGCATCTTTGTTGCAAAGGAATCATTATATTAAAATGAGGCACACTCTGAAAGCTGAATATTGTAAGTTTTGTCTCATATGAGAAACATTAAAATAGAATGGGGCTATTTAAGGAAAGGGGGGAGAGCTAACAGGAGA